TATGCGCCGGTAGCTTCGTCGTCCACAGGGAAACGAAAGAACTGTTGTATGTGGTGATTTGAATGGATGGGTAGGTATCGCTTGACCAGGATACGAGTCGGTGCTTGGAAAGTTTGGCAATAAAAGGGTTAATGATGCTGGCAAGCTTATACTGGCTGTATGCAAGGAAAAGGGTCTTTTGTGACAAACACTATGTTTAATCACAGGAAAATCCATATGTACACTAGAGAAAGAAAGAATGTGAGAAGTATGATTGATTTGTTCCTGGTGGATGACCGACTGCGAAAACAGGTGATGGATACACGAGTGTTCAGGGGTGCTGACATGGGAACGGATCATTATCTAGTAATTACTAGATTTAGGGGTTTGTTCGCGGGTTGGCACTACCGGACGGTAGTAACAGAACCACAGTCGGTCTGTCGCATCCGAAGCTGGAAGCTTCAGGAAGTGGATACTAGGGACAAATATCACACGAGGTTAGCCGAAAAGCTGGACACCATCGATGGCAGGAAAGAATGTGTGGAGAGAACATGGCAGAACCTTAGGGATGGAATGGTAAGTGCAGCGGAAGAAGTATGTGGAACGACAAAAAGAGGTAGTAGTAAAGAAAAGATGCATGGTGGAATGATGAAGTGAGAGAAGCTGTAAAAAGAAGAAAAAAGCATGGTTAGACTACTTGGCCTCTAGTAACGATAAGCATATGAAAGAGAAGATGAAAGAAAGATATAAGCTGCAGAAAGTTCATGCGAAAACATTGATTGAGGCAGTACGTGAAAGGAGTAGAATAGAAGCGGACGAGAGGTTGTAGCACAACTTTAAGGAAAACTCCAAACTCTTTTGGAAAGAGGTTGGAAGGTCCCGGAGTGGTGCGTCATCCTTAAGAATGAACAAAGTGCTTTCGAGAACCAATGACGTCCTCTCAGAAAAATCGGACGTCATGCAGCGATGGAGTGAATTTTATAGAGAAATGTAAGCGTGTCATGATCTTAGTGAAGGATTTGGCGGTGACGCCGTGACTGGCACGCCAGACACGGACCTCGATGACACTGAGGTCATCAGCATGAAAGAGATTGAACGTGCGATTCGAAGTTTGAAATGTGGTAAGGCTGCGGGACTAAACAGAGTTACTGCTGAAATGGTCAAGTACGGTGGGCCTCGCGTCTGGGACAGCTTTCATCTGCTGTGCAATTTGTGCTGGCGGACGGGAGATGTCCCGGATGATTGGCGATCCGCGGTCATTGTGCCTTTATATAAAGGTAAAGGTTCACATTTTGACTGCGGGTGCTATCGGGCGATCAGCTTGACCAGTTTAGCAAGTAAAGTTTACTCGAAGGTTTTGACACGTAGGATGCAAGAGAAATCGGAAAGATTCTTATGGGAGGCACAATGCGGATTTAGACCTGGAAGAGGATGCACGGATCAAATGTTTTCTCTCCGCATGATCACGGAGAAGCTTCTGAGTGTTAACCAGAGGATTTTCTGTGCTTTTGTGGATCTGGAGAAAGCATTTGATAAGGTTATAAGGAAGAAAATGTGAGAACTGTTGCCGGGATATGGTGTGGATGGTCGATTGTTAAGGGCTGTGCAGTCACTTTACTATGACTGTAAAGCCTGTGTGCGGGTAGGTCATGACCTGTCACCCATGTTTAGCGTCCAAGCGGGCGTAAAACAAGGTTGTGTCATGTCTTCCTGGCTGTTCATACTGTATCTCGACAGCTGTTTACAGAAGCTGAAAAATAGCTGTTTGGGTGTGAAATTGGGTGACATTAAAGTTAATTGTCTGCTGTATGCTGATGATGCAGTGCTTATTGCACCATCAGAAGCAGAACTGTAGGAATTAGTCACGTGTATGAAAGAGGAATGTGAAATTAAAGGTCTCCGTTTGAATTCTAATAAAACTAAGGTTCTGGTATTTGAAAAGGACGAAGAGAGAACGAAATGTGAAATATGGGTAAATCAGGAATGTCTAGAACAGGTAAATGAAATTGTATACTTGGGGAGTGCTTTCAGACGGGATGGAAGATGTGATTTAGATGTGGATAGGCGTGTCGCTGCCGGAAACAAAGTCAATGATGCCCTGAATGCATTAGTCAAAAGGCAAGGTTTGGTGAAGAGTGCACGCCTTGCAATACATAACGCAGTGCTGGTACCGACTTTGTTATACGGCAGCGAAACCTGGGTATGCCAGAAGAAGCATAAAAGCAAGTTGAATGCAGTGGAGATGCGATCTCTTCGTAAAATGTGCGGCGTTACCATAGCCGACCGAAAGCGAAACGAAGAGATTCGCAATATGGCAGGATTGAAAGATGACCTTAACACAAAAATTGATAGGGGCGTACTCCAATGGTTTGGGCACGTTGAACGAATGAGTGAAGAAAATATATAGAGCGAAAGTAAATATTAAAAGGTGTCGAGGTAGATCGACACTAACTTTCGAAGACCATGTGATCAAATTGCTCGTAGAGGGGAGGGTCAAGAGTACTCGGATACCTAGACGTGCATGTATGAAGAAGTTAATGAACCTGAAAGAAGCGAAAGAGGTATGTAAGGATCGTGACACTTGGCGATCTGTTCTCTTTGGCTACCCCGTTGGGGAATGTGCGTGAAGATAAGTAAAAATAAGCATACATAGAAACTAAAACATAATATTGTTTGCAATAACAACATTTATTGTGTCATCTAGTAGATAACCATATTAAATGTTGGAACGATTAACGATTAGTAAACGATTTAGTGGTTATTACCATAAACTTAGAATATATAGACGGACATAGTGCGCGAAGGAGAAGAAAATTCCTTATGGCAAAAATACAAGATAGAAAAGGATAACAATTGTCATGACTCTGTAACCGATTTTGAATGACCGGTTGGCAAAAGTCGGCACGCAAAAAATATGCTCCTAGATAATGTGTAATTTTTTATAGCACAACAATAATTTATTTTGTAATTAGTTGTTTTCCAAAATGGTTACATGTACTGTGAGTGACGGTGGTGTCAATATTAGAAATAATCCTGATATTTTCACAATTTACAGGGAAATTCGCAAGACGTCGTTACTGCTATGACACCTATATTTAAAATATGGAATATTTTCAATTATTTTATTAATTTTTATATTTTGCAAAGGAAAAAGTCACATTGTTAATAATTTGTATGATATTGGTGAAATAATTTTGCACCAAGTATTTTACAAGTACACTAGGGATTGGCTTATCTTGAATGTTTGTAAAGATTCGATAAACTTGCCCACACAACAAAAAAGGAACTAAACTAAATACTCGATTAGCGTTGTAGAAACTTAATTATATTTTGCCGTTTGTCATACAGAATGTGTTAACAGAAAGATCTTGAGATTATTTTATTTAAGCCATTATGAATCCAACTATCATCTATATATTTATCAACCGGAAATGTATAACCTTACTTCGCCACCCGCGCCTCACGGTCATTCCAACAAAATATTCATAGCATCACGTTATTATATTTAGTAATGCTCCTAAAGCAACTCTAGACACCTGCGCATGAGACGAGTGGTTCAGTGTGCCAGGATATAGTACAAATTCTATATTTTTAATACTCACAATGCACGATGCCCGATGACTGTGCCGAGGGCATGATAGCGTGGTTCATCGCCTACAGAATTAGTCCTAGTGAAGAGGTAAGTAACAGCTGCAAGGATCAATAGATGTGCGACATTTAGCTGTACTTGCCGCGGTCAGTCCATGGATGGGTGACAGTTTTATTAACATACAGAGATTGAGAGAATAGAGGGCGCGTCTGTATCTTTAGACATTTGGTGCACTTTAATATCTCTGCGCATAGCTAATACCTACGTAAAAAATACGTCTTTCTAAGATTAATATTTTTTAAAATTCATGTAGCTAAAATATTAGTAATTTTATTATTACTTTATAATTATCAGGGACAGATGAAAGAAAATAAGAGCAATATTATTTAATTTCTTCCTACAGGTTTCTCATTTAAATGATTAAGCTTACATTCGTATTTATGTTTAAAATATAAAAAAAAACTTCTTTAATGTATTTCACGATTATATGTTAAACACGTAAACTTAAGATATAAATGTACATGTGTGTTGCAGTTTATCAAATGGGTTATAACACAGCGATTAATATTGCTCGGAGAGCAAACACTGATTTTCAGCTATTACCCTCATTTTACAAAATATAAATTGGAATACCAATACTTAATTGTTTAAATTTGACTAACGTTATGTTAAAAAATGAGGTGCGGGGAAACCGAAAATACAACTTTCCGATCGGAATCTTGGAAAAAGTTATTTAAGTTCATTGGTAGACTCACCACGTCTGATATTATTGAAATATTAATTATAGTTAAGTTATATCCATCTAACGGCTGTTAATTTTTTTTATAGAATAAGGGTGACAAACGAGCACACAGTACACCTGATGGTAAGTGGATGCTGTGGCCTATACACATCTATATTTATCGTCCAATAATAATCAATACGTATAAATAGAATGCCTCGTTTCCAGAAAAAAGGGTCTCCGGATCTCTACACTTACAATACAAAACTCAGTAGTGTTAAGTTGTTATTTTAAGCTGGTATTCTGTGAGAACGTGGTCCTTCCCGGGTCGAGCCGACCCTTTCGTGCTACAGTTTCATGCACTAAAGTAAATATTTTTCTTAATCTTTTTACCGTATCCTTAATAATCATTTTCGATAGCCCTTGTAAGTAAAGTGGACATCACTAGCCAACGCACACGATTACAAATCAAAATTTGTCACGCATACGTATGTAATTACTTTAAAGTCGCGCATTTTTCCAGTTTTCAGGTCGTCTATACGCAAATATATTCTAAGTCTATGGTTAATACTATAGTTCTAAGGTTATTATTTACTCTTGACTGTTTGTGTCAAGTGTGAAAGATGAATGAAAAATTTCAAAATATACTGTCAATGCAATATTAATCTATACAAATAATATTATTGTACACCTCAATATTATTATCTTGAAATGGAGAAAACACAAAATAAAACAGTTGTAAAACATCACGGCTTACCACAAAACATTGATAGCAACGTTTACGAGCAATGTAATGAACACGTTTTGAACCTTCCTGACGAAAACGATCAAAATTTAGAAGTCGTGGTTAGTGAAATACCAAATTCAAGAGGAAAACCAGAACAAATAAAGCCTACTAGACAAAAAGAATATGTGATGGTATATAATTTAGAACAAGGACGTCTCCAAAAGTTTCAGGGTTTTAGTGAGTAACTACAACTGTACACATAATCATATTGTTATATCAATATTATATAACGAAACTTAATCGTATAGCCAATGATTAGATATGGATCTGAAATAACATTCTTTACAGCTGGCCGTATAAAAAAATTAAGGTCTCTTATTGAGCTATGGAGAGGGCTATGCTCGTAGTTTCTCTGCGGGATAATTTTTTTTAATGTGTGACGTAGCTCAATAGATTAAAAAATGAAGTGGTCCAGGACTGGTTTTATAGCTCGATGAGCTGATAGCGGTTTGGTAAAAAAAAAAGAAACGAAAAAAGTCATATCTCTGAAAGTTTTAGTCTTACTGAGATAAAAATTAACTCATTCGGAGGCCAATAATATTGTTTATCGTTTACATTATCAAAATTTTTTGACATACTTGTAACTTTGAAGAAAAAAAATTTAACTTCAAATAAATATCAAAAAATATGCTAATCGGCAAATTTTGCCTGTAAACTTTATGTTGTATTGTAGCTTAACTCAAAATCTGTCGATCTAGTATAAAAATAAAAAGGGTGAACGGAGTTGTTTTTGCAGTAATTTACAATAATTTGCCGATTAGCATATTTTTTTGATATTTATTTAAAGTTAAATTTTTTTCTTCAAAGTTACAAGTATGTCAACAAAATTTTTGATAATGTAAACGATAAACAATATTATTGGCCTCCGAATGAGTTAATTTTTATCTCAGTAAGACTAAAACTTTCAGAGATATGACTTTTTTCGTAAACGCCTAGAGAATATCTCAAGAAAAAAACAAAATGGCTGCCAAATAGAGGGGGAGGGGATTAGACCTCAGTGTGTAGTGTATTTTTATATTAAAATAGCTGTATTATAAGTACCTAAAATATCGCTAGTCCGTGACCGGACACACTGTATATAAATATCTTCACAGTGAATGGTGTGACGACCTGATAAGATATGCAGGAGGTTGATGGATAAAATTGGCTTAGGTCTGTGTTTTGTGGTGTTCCTTGGGATAAGTATATGAAAGCAGCTTAGATTCGTGAATTCAAACTTATATTTGTATGAATTTATAGTTATTGACATACTCGTATATTTCTACGATTGCCGTTGCCTAGACTTTAACATTAATACTAACTTAATATTCATGTTATTGTGTCTTGGGTAGAATTTGTGTGAATATCACAGTTGTCTATAATATATTATGAAAAAATAGTCTGATAGCCAGTTTCAAAATGGCTATTTACATGTAACGATAAATGAAAGGGAGGTTGGTTTAAATGTAACATTAAAGTATATTTACCTTTTTAATGTTTTCTCCCTTAATTCTCACACCATTTACATGTGAGAAATAATATAATTTACAATGAATAAAATATAAAACCTTTGAAAAAACATTTTTAATGTCAAAACAGGCCGAAAATTATGACTTGACTTTATCATGGTCGTTACTTTTTTCCCGCAGTGTATTTCCTTCATTTTTGGAAATTAAAACTATTTACTGTGGGCGTCATGTCTGGACTAATAGTCTAATAGTATTTATATACAACCCTATGTGAGTGATGTCACAACTCGTATGTATGACCTTATTCTTAGGTATATTCTTACTATGGACAAACTTTGATCTGGTGTCACACTTAAGGTTTTTTTTTTTTAATTGAAGGGAGAATCGATCTCACAGCTTACGTGACGTTATGTAGCTACTGTTATGAACCTTTACCGTTACAGCCAATTAAAATCCACGGCTGAGCATAGGCCTCCCCCATAAATTGCCACATAGTGGGGATATTTACCATAGTAACCACGCTTGGCTAACAGGTTGGCAACCGAAGTTTTTATTTTATTTTTAGTCATTACTAGGATGACTGTGCTTCCCATCACTTAATTTGTCACCTCGTACGACACCCACGGGATGCTATGAGGCAGTGGATATTCCCACACTGTCACTATACGGAATAAACCACCATTACACGGAATGAATATTTTTATTAATAATTTAATTTTTTATTCCCTTGATTGAATTAAGCATATCATGAGCTCAAGGTAATAACTAAATATCCAAAACCGCATCCCCTATTTTTCAACTCTTAGTGGTGGCTACCCCTATATTATTACCTACTGAATAAAAAGGATAATTAGTGAAATCCTTTTTTGAAATTAAAATAAGAATCAACTTAATGCGCCCAAAATATTTAAAAGTTTTCTAAGCTTCCAAACGAATAATTGTTATAAAAAAAACCTTTTTTAAGGAAAACAAGATGTTCAAGGCATTTAGTAATAAACAAAACATACATTGACTAAATATTTGGATTAAACATGTTAAAAATAAATAAATAAAGATTTTTGTAGTAAAAAATAAAATAATTTGTCTTACCTAGTTTAAAAAACATCATCCGCCATCACTCAATATCGTCACTTGCGGTGAGCCACTGCAGAGTGTATTTCATCTGATTACGCCTCGCTTAGAAGCGAAAATAGTGTCGTATTATCGACAGTCGTGTGTGTTTTCCAGTGTAGTAATGTTAGTAGGTTTGGTATTGGTATTAGTAGTGGCGGAAATAGTGCTACGCAATTGAGAGGGGGCGAGAAGTGCTCTGCAAACTAGGTAAGACACATCTTTTTATTTTTTATCACGCGAATTAACTGATTAATTTTTATCATTTTTAATATAATAGATTTCCGCAAAGTAATGCCTGATTCTATTAATTATAATTATTTGGAATCCTCGAGAATATAAGTTAAATATTTTAAAAACTTACTAGCCTTTTTGATAAAAATGTTAAATTAGTATATTTAAATGAATTTATATTAACAATTAACACTATTCATTTTAATAAGAAAAAATTGTATGCATTTGTAGTAGGCCAGATGGCTCAAAAATTCAAATCCCCTGATCAATTTTGTTATCGTTTGTTATTTAGAAGTAAGTAAATAATTCAAAATGTTCAAACAAAACCCACCACAATTTAACATTTAAAAGTCATGCATCTTTATTTTACATTTAATTTTATAGATCAAGAAGACCCGAGACCACCGCTTGTTTACGTACCTGGTAGTCGCAATACTTTTGTGAAGTTCGTTCTCAGCCTTGTTCTGCTGATGCTTCTTGTGACTGCATCATTTTTGGCAGTAGTACTATTGATGTAAGTTTTGCAATTTGTGCAAGATAAAGTTAAATATATCGTATCATAGTTCATGAGGGGATGTGCTTTACAAGGTTTCTGAGGCACGTGGTAAGCACCGCCTTCTGTCGGACTCCGGGTTGCTATTGAGATTTCCTTAACTGTAAAACTGAAATAACATTGATATGTTTGTAAGCTTATATCTTCTAGATATAGTGTTTCTATACTAAACTAAACCTAAACTAATGATGTTCGCTTAAAGAATAACATAAATCCGAGGTAATAGAATAGAATAGAGGCAATATTAAGTTTTTAATTAAAACTTTAATTTTCTGTAATACTTAATGTCTGAAATGTATTTATTTATATTTTTTCTTAGATAGTTTTTGATGGTCTTGTATATAAATAATTATTAATAATAATAACGGGCCGTAACAACATCGTTATCTACGTACTAGAATTGAGGTAATCTACATCTATATTATAAATGTCTATTCTAAGCATCCACTTACAATCAGATAAATTGTGTTAATTTTGTCTCCCTTAATCTAATAAAATAATACATGACGAAATTATCTCTCGTATTTTAAGTTTGTACGATTTAAACACATACGAATCAGAAAACCAACTTGTTAGTGGTTTAAGAGAATCCAAAATTCGATTCTCTCTCGACCTTGTCGTAAGATCTAACTAAGAAAATGTCGGGACGACATACAACTAACTCAGATAACCGTTATATAAGTACGCCGGGTATATTATAAAGGCCAGGTACCGGTTTCATTAAAGGTTAGGTGCTGTTTTTAATAGAGGAAGGGGTAAAAGAGCATATAGCTCACCTGGTAATAAATACCACTATGAGCCTCTACAATCAGAAAATCCGCTTACCAAGCCTGATCACTCCTTGTTTAAGAGTTCCTCTTTATATTGGGAGATGCCCATCGTCATCGAAGTTTAATTATCGATTGGTTATATTTCAGACCAGATGTGAAAGAATTTTTCAGTGAATTTGGATGGGTCTTAATGATACCAGCATTGTAAGTTCTTATTATAAACCAGAATTACCATTATTACTTCTTATAAACCAGTATGTGACTACGAGGGTGGGTCATAAATTTCGCGGAATGAGAGGTGACGAGGGATTATTTTTTAGCTATCACTACTTCATAACTCAAAACAACGATAAATACAGCTAGATTGGTTCATAAACCTTTGGGATATCACAGAATAAACAAGTCTCGATTCACTTCAAGTAAATATTAACTATAGAGAAAATTAAGTTACGTGCCATGCCACAAAAGACAAACACCACATATAACTACGGAAAAAATGTCATCCCTTTAGGGAAACACTTGCCCCAGATAAACGATGATTTATAAGTGGTATAGCCTTTTCAAGCAAGGCAGAGGCTCAATTAAATATGATCATCGCTCAGGCCGACCAATAAAGGCAACTGCCTCTGACATTTTCAAAAAGTTAAAAAATTTGTTCTTGAAGATGCTATTGTGAAGAAAAGACATGTATTAGGAACAATTTCAGTAACATTTTTGACAATTTCAAATATTCTTCATGACAATTTTTACATGTATAATAAGGTCAGTGGAAGTTGGATGCCATGAATGCTCACACTGCTTTAGAAACAGCACGGGTTAAGTGAATGCGCGAGATTTTGAACATGTGTAGTGAGAACAGGGACAAAATTATGAAACGAACTGTGATTGTAGATAAAACTTGGGTTATTTACCATGAACCTGAGTTACAGCAGGAGTCCATGCAGTGGCACAATAAGGCGTAGCACTTAAGACTTCTAAGGCGCCTAAGAAGTTCAAGGTGTCACAATTGGCTGGAAAGACTATAGTTTCAGTTTTTTGGGATTAAGAGGGGATTTTATTGACTGATTATAAAGATAATGGTGTTGATATCACAGAACAGCATTACGCTTTGATAATAGAAAAAATTAAAAGATGAATTTATAAAAAGAAAGGGAAAGTGGTTCACAAGAGTCAAGTGGCGAAGGCTTCCTTACACAAATGCGGCTTTGAAACTTTAGACCACATACCCAATAGTCCAATTTAGGCCCCTTTTTATTATTATTTATTCGCAAATATAAAAAAAGAGCTTTGAGACAAGAAATTTACAAATGATAAAGAAATGAAGTCGGCAATATCTGCCCATATTGAGACGCTTGACAGAAAATATTTTTCGAAGGTATAAATAATTTATTTGAACGGTCTGAGAAGCGAATTTTAGTTAAAAGATATATTTCAAAAAGTAAAAAAGTAGTGTTTAATTTCGCCCTCTTTCCTTTAATTTCGCGAAATTTCTGACCTCCCCTAGTAATATCCCACCTAGTTATCACATAGCCCTAAGTAGTAAAACGCATCCAATTTTTGCTTGCTTGTCTTGAAAAAGGTAGGTTAGAAATACACATTAGCAAATCATTTCTTTTCTTTTTCTGTATAAATTACGGATATGAGCAAACCAATCGCTTTAAATTCAATTTATGTCATTATAAACATCATCATAATTACAGCTCTTTACAAGTCCACTGCTGAACATAGATCTTCCCCATGGAATGCCACAAATCACGGACCAGCGCCACCTGTATCCATCGATTTCCCGCATGTATTACTAGATCGTCACTCCATCTAGTGGGAGGTCACCCTAGACTTCGCCTACCAGTACAAGGCTGCCACTGGAGTACCTTTTTGCCCCAACGGTCGTCGGTTCTTCGAGCTATATAGCCGGCCCACTGCCACTTCAGCTCATGTAGCATTGGGCTTTGTCGATCACTCTATTTCTACTGCAAATGTCCATATTTCTAAGTTTGTCACCCCGAGAAATCCTGACTATAGTCCTCTACATAGGTCGCTGAGTGACAATGAGCCTCCTTATACGGCCAGCAGTGAAGAACCACGTTTCAGGTCTGTATGTCCTCATTAGCAACACGCACAGGTTGTACAATCTCATTTTCAATTTTTGAGGTATACCTGACGATAAGATATGTCGCAATCTCCCGAACTAGCCGAGTTGAATCCGTCGATTAACCTCTCGGTGGAAGTTGGACCAGTCGGACTATTTGTCCCAGGTAAACATACTCGTCAACTACTTCGAGCTTATATATCGCAACAATTACCAGCATAGGTGTGCCGTGGACGTTACACATGATCTTTATTTTGTCCATGTTCATCTTAAGGTTATCCGTTATATTATAGGTATATCCGTTAGGAGGCAAGCATGAGATAAAGAGTGTGATTCGAGAATTTTTGTGTTCTTCTGCGGTGGGTCTTGCATAACTTAGCTCCAACCGAATGGACAGTTTCCAAGAGCTTATCATTTATATCGTCCACCGTATTGCAGTCTTCTAGGCATTGAAAACGGTTTTGTAATTCGAGCTGAAAGTTTTCAGGACCCTGGATTAGCGCACGAGGGGACGGATCATTGATTTCATTATGCGAGACCTCTACAACTTAGCGTTTTGGTTCAATTTGCCTCCAACCATTCGATGACAGTTTTCACCCTCGCAATCACAGAAACATCACTGAACTGTCGTCTAGTCGCTATAATGAAGTCAATCTCATTTTTGTCGAATCGATGGGGTTCGTCCAGGTCTCTTATAGGACCGGTTTATTTCGTCTACCCATCCTAAGAAATCCGCCCTAGGTAGGATTCTCGAAATTCCGATTATCGGGGTGGATATAAAGAATTAGTATATTATTTTTCTTCCGACTTTTCCCCTTGGCTGTGTATATAGTCGTTTATAAAACCATGATTAAAACTGGCCCAAGATTACTTAGTAGACAATAGCAAACTTATAAAAATATATATACTTGTTGTTTAACTCGTCAATTCCCAGTGTCACCTACAGGTGACAGAAGTTTAATAAAAAAACAAAAGGTGAAAGACAATTTTCATGTCTGGATTTACACACCATACGTCAACGGTCAATGTCACAAAGTTATTTAGCGCGCAATTGCATCAACTTGCTTGTTTGTGATTTATTGCGAGAAAAAGTGAAAATAATATGCTCAACCGTAAGTATTGTGTTTTTTCTTATCAAATATTAAAAATAAATATGTGAGCGCATAATATACATGTATTTATTGATAATAAAAACTAAAAGTGGTATTGTTATAACACCCAAAATGTGCAGGCGACACTGGGCATTATATTATATATTTCTCCTCTTTTAACAAAACTTTGTCAACTGTTGGTTTTATCGCTGTGCTTATACAAACCGTTTCTTTTTCTATTATAGGTTGACGTTAGATGAGATTGTCGAGGCGTTGCAGGCCGAAGAAGTCCAGGTGGTATAATTTTATTTCCTCCTGACGAATACGAGGTAATTGATGAAGATATTGTTGACGAAAACGAAGCTAATATTCTTCATCTTCCTAGTTGCATGCTTTGATCTAAGGTTGAAGACACAGAATAGCCCTACTGTGTTTGGAAAAAATATGGTATATGGGTATATTATGGTTGCAATTTGTGGTAAAGTAAACATCGATGAAGAAGTTTTTACTCACTCACGGGAGGAGATGACTTCAGGAGGAGAGGAGGTAGCTATGGGGGAAATTAGAGTATATATTTCAATATTGTTACTAACAGGATATTGGACGCCAAAATATATGAGAATGTTCTGGGAAGTAAAAAGTGACACACACAAACAACAAAGAACTTAGTAGTATCTTGCAATAGGCGTAATAGGTTTTTCGAAATTCAGCAATATAATTGATAGGGGCGTACTCCTATGGTTTGGGCACGTTGAGCGAATGGTGAAGAAAATGTATAGAGCGAAAGTAAATATTAAAAGGTGTCGAGGTAGACCGAGACTAACTTTCGAAGACCATGTTAGCAAATTGCTCGAAGAGGGGAAGGTCAAGAGTACTCGGATACCTAGACGTGCATGTATAAAGAAGTTAATGAACCTGAAAGAAGCGAAAGAGGTATGTAAGGTTCGTGACACTTGGCGATCTGTTCTCTCATGGCTACCCCGTTAGGGATTGTGCGTGAAGATAAGTAAGCAATATATTCATCTTTGCGACAGTACATCCCTGCCATCCAATGACAAATTTGCTAAAGTTCGAGAATATTTCACAAAACTGAATAAACATTTCACGACAAACTTCAGGAAAGCTGCTCCTATCTCATTTCCATTGAAGAAATTATAGTTACATATTTTGGGAGGTACGGTACTAAGCAACACACGCGAAAACCCGTTAGGTTTGGTTTGGTTAAGGTTATATAGTACATTGTGAGCCTTATTAGGGTGCGTCCTGTCTCAGTCTCAAGATGCAATTTGACTTGGGCTTTAAGTGCTGCTGTTGTCTTAGAACTTCACGAATGATTGCCACAAGAGTTGGTGCCATATAACTTGTATTTTGATAATTTTCTTACTAGTTTACATTTGATATAATATTTGCGAGAGTAGAATATAGAAGGAACTGGAACTGTTCGTGAACATCGTTTGTTGTAACTGTAAACTTTCAAATTACAAAGACATGAACAAAGAACCCAGAGGGAAGTTATACCATAAATCATCTGAAGGGATTATTGTCACAAAATGGCACAACAACAATATTGTGACAATTTTATCCAACTGCCATGAATTAGGTCCCGTCAAAAAAGTGGATTGAATTTGATTTGTTGATAAAAAAGGGCCCAAATACAAGTCGATTGCCCAGCTATTATAAAAATGTACAACAAATACGTGGGCGGAGTCGACCGTTTTGACGAAAACGTTGCCTATATGAGAGTAGCACTTCGGGGTAAAAAAGGTGGTTCCCTCTCTTTGCATTTCGATTAGATGCAGCTTGCCAAAATGAATAGCTGATCAAAAGGCAGTCAGATAATAACTGGTATTACTGTGACTTCCGGCGAAATGTGGTGACAACTTACCTAGCAATGTACGGAAAACCTATGAACCACAATTCTGCTTGTGGCGCCCCTCTGCGTCCACCCTAGTGAAGTGAGGAACACAGGATATGCAGATGATCATGCACAAGTCGACTGTTCACAGCGAAGATGCAGGTATGGTCATCAACACACTAGAAAAATATGCAGTAAAGGTAATATCGGTTTACCTCTAAAATGTTATATGTTCCACAATAAAGAAGCGTAAGACAGGTTAGATTTAGTTCTTTGTTCTTTTTTAACGATTTTTGTAAATAAACATTCTAATAAATAAATAAAAAGCTGTGTTTTATTCCCATTAAATAATGCTAAGAACGTCATAAGTTGTATAGCACAGTGTGACCCCATGAAACGGAAGGGGAAAAAATAAAAATAACTTTATTTATGGCTTTAGTAAAAGTCTGTTAATTGAATAAGTAAAATAAAAATAAAAAAAAAATCGTTAGATTGGATATTATGGGAATTGAACGGTTAAAAATCAAAACTTTTTTTTTATACGCGTGGTCCTTCCCCGGTCGAACCGCCCACTCGTGCTGCAACTATACTATTAATATACCTGCAGCATGGCTCTACCACGTATAACTGAAATAATTCATCATCATTTTGGTGTTTTACTGCAATCAATTTTAATTATGTTTTATTTAACAAATAAAATGTCTTTATTGAGAGACGAGTTTATACAGGATATACCATTATATCTATACAATAGTGAAATTGGTGTTGGTTATTTCCTGGGCATATTGTAGAATTTATAAATAACTTATTATTATTTAAAACTAGAAAGTTTAATTTGTTTTAAATGCAATACATATAATATGTGGTTATTCTTTAAGTTTGTATATATTAAAAATTAATCAATAATATGTTAAAGTACGAATATATTTTCTGTTGAACTGTACTTGGGGTGGAAAAGCGGAGCAATAATCAAAAAGTGAATTCCTATTATCCACCCTGTCTAGGGTGAATAAACGAACACGCGTTTACGAGTATCTACCCTAAGGTGGATTTCTTAGATTCTGCTTCGCTTCTGAAAGAAAGAGTTCATAAGTGTCCTTCTTTCTCCAAGAAGTCGGCCAGATGCTGTCCCCTTGGGTTTCGTTACCCTATTTCGAATTTCCCTACTTTCAGCTCACCGCTTTCTCTTGTGCCTAGTTTTGCGTTGAAGTCTCCCATCAACAGCGTATTAAATGGATTTTGCAGGAATTCCTGGCTCTAGAGATATCCTCATTCATTTCCTCAACCTCCTCACCAGGATGTGTCGAGGTTAGAGTGTAAAACTGTATGACCTTCAGCGAATACCGTTTCGTGATTAAAGTACACAACCCTCGTCAACACACTCCCAATCGTTGCAACGTTGTTAACGAGAGACTTGTCGATAAAACCGACATCTCCTTGGGACAGATGGTCGCCCTCCGGGTGACGAAACATATTGCCGATTTAAAGGAGTACCTTGTCCTCCCCCCTCTCTTCGAGCAGTTTTATCGTTACTTTTGCTTTCTTCAGAATGATGCTGCTGCCCATCTGCTGTCACAGTTTCCCATTGCCACCTCTTACGACACCTACGGGAATATAGTGGGTATTCTTGCTTCTTTTTCTTGTATTATTTATGTAATAAATAATAATTAAATTTCGGCCCATGATGCGCTGAAATTATTTTTTTCAATTTCAATGTATAAGCGTTGGATTCCCAGGAGTAAATAACCTTTTTCTGGCTTCATTTTAGCTATTATATTATTTTTTACCTTAAAATAATATAATAACTAAAATGAAGCCAGAAAAAGGTTTCCAAATTAGTCAAGAGCATTAGAAATATCGTTATCAGCTCAAAAGAAGAGACGTACTATTAATGCAAGTCTTTTTTTTCATAGACTTGTCCTGTTAGGTGTGAACTATGCAATGGTATGCAGTAGGTGTGCCAGACAACCTCCATGTAATTACGTGTGCCTGGTGATAACGGTAAGTTTTAGTTAAATATTTGACTAAGAAACGAGGTTATATGTAGTCTCATTAATTGTAAGAAGCTCCTGCAGCCACAAGAATCTGGAACCAATTTAAAACAAAGGCGACTGTAAATACGTAGACAAGTAATGTCTCATAACTGGATTTAGGCATCCCACAAGCAATGCAAAAAATCACGGTCCAGAACTAACTGAATCCATCGACTTGTTACACATCTTACCAGGTCACATTCCATATAATTGGGAGCCGCCTAACACTTCACCTACCGGTACAAAGCTGCTACTCGAGAGCTTTTATTTCCCAGCGGTTGTCGGTTCTTCGAGCTAATGTTCAGCAGTGGACTTAAAGTAACAAACAGTGCTTCACCCTTTAATCGGAACGCATGAGTAGACGCAGTATTGTTTCGCGGTAAAATTAGGATGGTACCAACCCAAAGGTCATCAAGACTTAAATGGATCATCCAGTACATTATTATGATCCAGTATCTTAGACCAAAAAATAAATATAGACAGAGCGATTACACGCGCACTTTGCAAGTGACAAAACAACCGTGCTCAAATTCTTAGCACATACTCCAGCACGCACCTTTAGCTTTCTTATTTAGCTGCTTACGTGTGCGTAAGTATTTCTTCTTATAATAAGTTTAAAACGGGCTTTGCATAGTTTAAGCGTCACGTAAAATGGTACGCAGCGCTCCTTTTATCTTTTTCTGTTGATATGGGTCCCGTACACATAAAATAGAAGATAGATAAACCTTATTTTGTAAGCAATGCAATTTTAAATATTTTTTTGCGAAGTTAAATATATATGTGGTTACGACACATTGAAATAATTTTACCACGGGATTTTCTCATCTTCTTAATATATATAAATTACGTGTCACGTTGTTTGTCCGCGATGAACTCCTAACCTACTTCACCAATTTTAATCAAATTTGTACACCGTGTGCAGTTTGGTCCAGCTTGAGAGATAGGATAGTTTTTTGTCCATGAGTGACCCACAATTTTTTTTTGCGAATTTAAGTATTTTTAATAGGACATGGCAAAGGATCGTTGAAAAGGGCAGAACAACGTCTGCCTGGCAAGCTAGTAAGATTATAAAATTAAATCTTTTCTTATATGCTAGTTGTTTAATCAAATGAAATCTCAAAATTTCAGTTTTATTCAATATAAAGATAATCTTCTGTCTATATGAAGATTTTTAACCGTATGGTGAAGGCTATTTATACACTTGTATCAATTGTCTATAAACAAACTTAAACACGAAAATTTTGTCATGTTGGTGGCCTAAGAAAATACATCGCTTCATTTTTTGCGGCAAGTGACGTAAGGGATTATGGGAAATGTCTGAAAAGTCTTATGGCTTCCAACTGGTATTACTATCATGAAACTGCCTACCAAGCTCGTTTACTATTAAATAATTTAATATTAAGTAACTAACTAATTGATACCCCCTGTATACGCAACGCAGGAACGACCGGTTTTTGACGCAGTGAAGTGGGCGGTGGCAAGACTCACACTTTACTTGTTCACTATAAGGTTACTACGTATGTATTGCCGATTTACCGCGTGTTGACCGTGCCAATTGCTGTTTAGTGTTCAATAGTGTTGCGTTAAACATATTTTTGTAGATTAAGGTGTAGCTCATATTTAAAAAAAAATTATGTCGGTGGTCTGTGGTACACGGTAAAGTTTTTCATTAAGCTCATGTTGTACCATATTATATCCTTTTTATCATGTATAATATGTTAAATAAATAAATAATAAAATAATAAAATAAAATAATAATAATAAACAAAAAAAGCGTGACGAGCCAGAAGTCAAATGACCCATGACAATGAAGGTACTTTAATAATAACCTGGACTGATAGAAAAGATGAAGATTTGTCCCGTGCCGTTATACAATCCGCAGACAGCGGAATCGCAACTAAGCGCTCAGCAATTTAATCGTGTTATACCAAATCATAACATCTAGGCTTACATTAGGTAGTGGATATTCATACAGCTTAGCGTTCTATGTAAAACTACCCAATATCGTTGCACGTACCTTATGAAGCGACAGAGGTAAATAAACCAGGATTAGGGTAACTGCGTCTTCCTCATAACGAAATAAAATAAAAAAAACTGCGGTTTCCAACCCGCTTGCCAAGCGTGGCAACTTTGGCAAGTATCCTCCCTTTCGCGATCTACATTAAGCAGTGAACTTTTGGTAAGTTGTGATTGTAAATGAGTCTTCAAATATTTTCAGGTAACGGGCATGAGTATAGTTGCTGCTAAAGTTACTTCGCATTACAGTACGGAAATCGTTTTGTATGCTGTTATTACGACGACGGTCGTTGTACTCGTATGCTTTTTTCTAGCGTTTTCCAGAGTAAGTTGGTAACGTATTTAATACAAATTATGTGACTGCATCATATATGGGCTGATGATAAAAACGAGTATCGTTTTGGATATGTTTCGATTAAATTAAATTAATTTTTTTCCAAGGGCACAGATATATAAAATTTAGATGAATTATAATACTGTTAAACATATCTTAATGCACTTATTATAGTTGAAACTAATGGCAACTGAAAGGTAGCAGGATATCCATTTCAAAAACTGCTTTAAGTTAAAATTGAGGAAATGAAATCAAATATTATACTACAATTGTATCTAAGAGAATGTGCTCACTTTTCCTCCACATGTAATTGTTTCCTTTTTGGTGTTGTACTGAGCGACGAAAGAGGTCAATTTCTGGGATACTTTTAGGGAAGAGAATAGTGCGCCGCGCTTATCCAATGAGTGTTGAATTGCTTCATGTTCTCAACATATTTCTTTTTCAATTTCTCAGAGATGCAAGTTATCTCGCGAAGTTCTCCTTCACCTTGAATCACAAGAAAATTACAAATAACAATTTCAGTGGTGCCGGCGTAGAACGATCACTTTTTTTACATTATATGAAATTTTAAGCAAGTATTCAACCTCTTACGAAACTTGGTCCTTTAATACTGTCAACACGAGGAAGCTCAAAGTCACTCAGCGTAAGATCGAAAGGCTCGATTCGTAACAACCCATTCGTAACAAGGATATCCAGAGAAGAACAAATGTAACTGATATACATAAAGCTTGTATCATTTTACCAGCTGCTCTTTGGTTGTTGATATGGGTAGTCCATCTATAAATTATATGGAAAATTATCTTAAGGGCGTTTCCCGATTTAGGAATTTTTTATTATATTAGGGACTGCTCCCTGTAACATTTTTTACATCCACTGAAACAACTTGCCAAAAGCAACGAAACAAGAAAAAAGTACATCATTATATTGCACACATGCACGCATATATTATCTAAGTGTGCCTCCCCTTACTTGTTGAAATATTCCGCATTCGATGTACCGCTAATACGACGAGATCAGTGGAGTAAGGAATCTGAATAAATCCAAGCGCAAATATCACCAATTTTTGATTTTGCTTAAATGCTTCAATTTGAATTTGAACCAAATACCTGTAGGCCTGCGTGTCATTTTGCTACATGATTATAATAAACATTAAACATTGATAAATAGCAAAAATTTACATAATTTGTGTTTATTACTTTCAGTTTGATTTTACTAGTTGGATGTTATATGTGGTTGTTATTGCTACAGCGTTCTCCGTCTTAGCAATGATTGTTTTACTGACAATGCTTTTTACTGGAACAGTTATGAAACCAGTGATTATAGTTATTTTAATCGTCGGCACTCTAATAGAAGTAATTGTAAGTATTATTTATATATAATTAATTTAGCTTAAAATACTTCTACAAATTCAAAATCATCATCATCATCATTATCAGTGAAAATTAGTTTACAAGAGCTTGCTGTAATTTAAGAATAATTCAATCGAACGAGCGAGTGGGCTTAAAAATATTTAAAAATCTACTTGTTGGTTTCTACAGCAATCAAATGTAAGCAAAAAGCCAAAATGCGGTTATCCCCCATCACGATAATAAGGCCGACATTTAGAGACAATTTTAAGCTTTAATTCAGACTACAAAATGTCAAAATTTATTTCATTATCTATAGTAGGGTTTAGACTCAAATTTTGAATAAATTATCTCTGAATACTAACTTTAGTCTAACAGCCTGTAATGAATTTTTGCGTTCGTACTCTTTCAAATTAGAACACAGTAGTGAGTGTATTGATTGTCAGCAAAAACAAGCAAACAAGTCGTAAGTAGTTTCTGTATTGTAAAACTTAAATCACTTTGAATAGTATTTTTGTAATCTATATTGAATAATAATGATCATATGCTGTTTTATTCTACCACTTAAGGTTATAATAAGATTATAAATTGTTTTTGACATGATATTTCATTAATCTGATTGCTAAGGAAAATAAAAGTTTCGATATCACTTCGTTGTTGTGATTTAACATCAACAACATGCATAGAGCCAAAACCGAATATTTTATTTCATACTGGTAATCCTAAACAATTTAATTTATATATATAAACGGGAAGCTAATAAAAGCGTTTTTAAAAAGTAGCCAATTTGTGTCACTGATAATATTATACGTCAATGTAGTGATTAATTATTAAGTTACATAAATATTGATACAGTCGACAGAACGCGCTTCAAGCGGGCACCATATAAGGTTCTTATTTAAGTTGATTTAACAACCTATATAAATCCCACAGCTGGTCACAGGCCTTCTTTGGCTTCTGAGAGGTTCTTAGGGCAAGGAAGTGTCCGCCACGCTTCCTAGAAAAAATATTTCAATATAGCACTTAAAATCGCAATAACAATTTCATTCGTGCGGGATAAATTTAATAGTAGTCAGTAAAATTACAATTTATATTTAATAATATATGGTCTCGTCTAGCGACAGCGTAAGAAAATCTTCTACCCCATAACATGATATGACATCACTGACTTCGTACTAACGGGCACCCTTTTTGTCGTAAGACGCGAAAGAACAAGCAGTGGTCAGAAACTAACAGTGGACTTTTGACGGGCTGTAACTACATGATATGTGATATGATATGATAATGATTTACTTAATAAGATTAAAAATATTTAAAAAATGTATAACGCGGAATTGTTTTTCAAATTGTTTCAATTTCAACGTTTTTGTTGACCTTATCTATACAAAGACATGTCAAGACAGATTCATTAAATTATAATATGTATATGTAGTGTTTAGATCTCGTAGACTTAGAATAAAGAAAAGGTTATGAGAGGCTCGCCTGGTACAATACTGATAAAAGAACTGTTCTGTACGAAAACGCGACTACAGACCATGTAATCTAAGTTTCAAATCCCGCGTCTGGTAAAAATCGGTTCCCAACTCTCTCACTCACTCTCACTTCAAATTTTGTCAATAAATTCTCAGTAGCAACATTGAGTCAGGAAGTTGTCGATATAAAACCTGTTTAACACCTGTGCCTCGAAAAGCGAGTGAAAGCCGTTGGATCCTGTCAGGTCTCTCTCCGGCCGTGTAGGTTTGTTGTTCCATCGAACTATGAGAATGAGGGTATGGAAAGCAATGCACCTGTGTATACGTCCTCACTCGTGCACTATGTATCTGTGATGCGCAAATGTCTAGTCTCCGTAAGTGTTAACCGCCGTGACCGATATTCGGTTTAGAGGACATTATTATTTTTATTAGAAACATGTTTAATTTTTTTTATAGGATAGGGTGACAAACGAGCACACAGTCCACCTGATGGTAAGTGGTTGCTGCGGCCCATAGACATCTACATCTATCCTCGATTACAAATCAAAATGCAGATGCGTTGTCACCAGTAAGGACTAAGATGGAGTGCCTCGTTTCCAGTAAAAAGGGTCTCCGGTTCTCTACATTCACCACACGAACCACAGCAGCATTAAGCTACTATTTTACGCTGGTATTCTGTGAGAGAGTGATCTTTCCCCGGTAGAGCCGACCCATTCGTGCTACAACTATACTACTAATATAACTGCAGCATGGCTCTACCACGTATACCACGTATACGTTTATTATAAACTTTTACTGTATTTTCCTCTATTATTCCTTATCAAATTGACATTTTTTGGTTTTATAAAGCAAGTAAATAGATTTTTACCATATTATTGTAAAATTTCAGACGCTAACAATAGAACTGCAAACCGTAATTGGCGGCAAATCAATAGAACTAGCTGAAGATGATTATGCTCTTGGAGCCTATATGATTTACACATCAATCATTACCATTTTCCTCAAATTAGTACAACTTATCGGTTTGATAGAGAGCATGTGAAATTAATTAAATATTAATGAATAAATATACGTTTAATTATATAAATGGTTTCTTTATTTGCTATTTTCAGACTTCGTATTAAATTTTCGTCTTTACAATGAAGATTTCGCGCACTACGGACGGTAAAAAAAACTTTTGGCCCCAAATTAATATAGTATCATCATCCTTACGGCCTCATCATACTAGCAGTTTGCGAGGGGCTTCAGGGCGGAGCGGGTGCGCAGTGAATACGTCGTTAACGCGCAACGAATCAGCTGCGCATGCGCAGCGAATACGTCGAGGACGCGCAACGAGATCGCCGCGAATAGCAACGTGGACGTCATTTTGTACACTCTCGTACAAACTTTTAAAACATACCTTATATTAAAAACGAGTCTTTTTTCAGGTAACACTGATAATCTCAAATGTGTATCTTCATGTCTTAAGTCGGTTTGTATCAGATGCAACAACTCATAAAATGTAGGTCTTGACATTCGCAGGTAGGAATGAATTTTTTTAAGGATTATATTTTGATCGTTTGCAAAACAACATAAAGTAGTCGCTCTCTTCCAGTCGATTATTTGATAATGAATCCTACCAAAATCTGTTGTTTTCGTCTCATGCGTCTTAGAAGTACCAAAACCAACAGCAGTGTTTCCTCGTCACATTCCATTTTGTTAATGGGTGTACTGTACGTCGTAAACTCGCTGCAAACACGCGACAAAAACGTTGCTTATCCACCAAGCGTCCGCGACGTCCTCGCTGCACAGCCGCGGCGTGTCCGCGACGTATTTGCTGCACGCCCGCTCCGCCCCGAAGCCGCTCGCAAACCGCTAGTATGATAAGGCCGTTAAGCTTACAGCTCTAATAAGCCTTTCCAAAATTTGACCACTTGTCAAAATTTCCTTGGAAAATTTAACAATATTTACCATGCAAAGTTATGTTTAGCATTTTTATAAAATAAAAAAGAGCGCACAATCTACCTGATGATAAGTGGATACTGTTGCAAATACACATTGCTATCCATTCTCGATTATGTATCAAAATGCAGATGCGTTGTCACCCCTGAGGATTGTGATGGTATGCCTCAATTTTAGTAAAAAGAGTGACCGGTTCTCTGCACTCACCATAAAGAACACAGGAGCATGCTATTTCGCTGGTATTCTGTGATATTATTAATATTAAAAAAAGAAAACATAATAATATAAATGAGATTCGAGATTCTCACTTAAAATTTTGTAGTTTTGAAGTATGCTGCTTCATGATATATAACCGATTTCTGATATCAAATTTCCTGAGTCACTCATTCCATTTCGCTGTGCATATCTTTCACCGCCTAAAGATGAATACAAACATTTCCTCAATTTTTTTAATGTTCTTCGGTTATGTTTTGGAGTAGGAAACTGCAGAAAAAGGGAGAATGATTTTGTAAATTGTTCATAGATGTAATCAGACGAAAGCTGCAGTTGTGTCTCTATCGCTCGCCTACCTCTATTGTTAGAGTATAGCGCAACGCAAAAGATTGTTATAAACCTTTTTTTATAGGATGGGGTGACAAACGCGCACACAGTCCACCTGATGGTTTGGTATGGTGTTTGCTGTGGCCCATAGACATCTACATCTATCCTCGATTGCGAATCTAAATGCAGGTGTGTTGTCACCCGTGAGGACTTAGGTGGAATGTCTCGTTTCCAGTAAAATGGGTTTCGGGTTCTCTACACTCACCATACGAAACACATCAGCATTAAGCTACTATTTGACACTGGTATTCTGTAAGAGCGTGATCCCTCCCCGGTCGAGTCGTTCCATTCGGCCGACCCATTCGTGCTACAACTATACTACTAATATAACTGCAGCATGGCTCTACCACGTATAAACCTATTCTTAAAATTTCTTGCAGCCCTGATATTTTTTTTAGTGTAACAGAGGATTAATATGATGACTCTCGATAGATTTTAGTGTATAATTTTTCATTAATTACAACTTACTAAAAGTGCACTGCTGAGCATAAAATAGATTACCTCGTTAAGGGGATTTTACCAAAGATTCCACGCTTATTATGCGGGTAGGCAACCTCAGTTTATTATTATTTTCAGTCAGTACTCACCTCCTGTTTCAGTTTCCCTTTGTCGTATCTAACGTGACCCACGGAATCACATAGAGTAGTTGTCTTAGACTGCCTTTACACAGCAAGTATAATAAAAGTACAAATAACAAAAACATCAGTATCTAATATTACTTTTTGAACATTACATAAAATTTTGTGTGTGAATATGAAGTTGTAACAGTATGTAATATATGTTAGCCGTATGAACTTATTACTTCCATTAGAATTTCAGCGTTTTCAGCGTTAGCGCATTTCCCATGCAGATAGGAAAGTTAAATTACCCTAATATATGCACACTAATGGGTACGGTCGTTTGTGAAGGATACGACTTGTGATTGTTTTCTTTCATTTAGAAAAAATGTTCGTGATATAAATCACTGAAAACATTATACATTATTGTAGTGATTAATTATTAAGTTATATAAATTAATACAGTCGACAGAACGCGCTTTAACTGGGCACCATATAAGGTTCTTATTAAAGTTAAAGTTAGAGCCTATGTACGTCCTACAGCTGGGCGCAGGCCTTCTTTCACTTCTGAGAGGGTCTTAGAGCAAGGAAATGTCCGGTATGATGTACGATGATGCAAGTCGTCCCGATTTTCAGGGATCTGGTGACACGTTCCGTTTCACCTTTGATTGGGACGCCAAATATCCCGAATTTTCACTTTCGGGCTTTTTGATCGATTATTTTGACGGCAAAATTGAATATATCTGTGAGCTGTTACTACATTTAAATACTATTACTTTAATGATTTCTTAAATTTACGCAAACACTATACATTGAATAAAACTATTATTTACGAATTTTATCGCGTTTAATTACTACTTTAATTTATTTTTATTATCCCGACGTTTCGGGTGCTTTACAGAACCAATGGTCACGGGGAGAGGGGGGGGGGGCTGAGATGTTTGACGTCCCAATGTCATAGTTAGTCCGGGTACCTTCAGTTATTGAATATTAATTTTTGGTCCAATTTACGCAAAACGAGCTTATAGTATCATAAGTCTTGCAGTGGTTTGCTTGGGTTTGGGTTTCATTTTGTTAATTTTAGGATCTCAAGCAGATGGCAGCAACCGTCCATCTTCTCTATTGAAATTTGGATGTTTTTTAATTTCAATAGCCTCGTGTATCATCCTTGGTAGGAATCGGTGTCCTTTTGCAAGGATTTGTGGTTTATCAAATCTAATGTAATGGTGAAGACGATCTAGACCATGTTCGCAGGGAAGTCTGCAGTCTGCGTAAAGTAGTAATTAAACGCGATAAAATCCGTAAATAATAGTTTTATTCAATATTATTACTTTGACAATTTCATATTTTCCCACCAAGCTCCGACTAAGCAAACAACATCAAAGTTTAAATTTTGCGCGTAATGTGCTAGCATGGTAATATACAGATATCAATAATGTTGACTCTGGTTGGGCCATAGGTTGCCAGGTTCAAATGCGGAACGAATGGACCACAAATATGGATAAGCAAATCACGAAAGCTATTTGCGTGGTGAAAGATTAGGTGAACTGTATTAGCGTGGTTTGTTATGAACTAAAACAAAATGGCGGACGTGGCACGTGGCGGTCTTTGGACAAATATAGTTGCTGCAAATTAAATTAATACGTTAGCCGGTACGATTTTTTTTCTAAATGCCTGATGCCTATTGCTGGTTTGCGATAATAGATTAATTCGACGATCATTATTTAATTCTATTACTAGTAATCAGTTCAGTACTTAACTTACATGCTGCTGTTTAGATAAGTTCATTTAGTAAAATGCAAAAATCTTGTGGAAAATTTCTTCTACTAGTCAATTTCTTCAATCTGTTATAGATACTGTTGTCTTCAATAAATAAAGTAACATTATACATCCTATGCAAGGATTTTATCTAGGCTGTCAAGGTGTGAGGTATTAAAACAGAATCTGAAAAAGAAAGTTCAGAGTCTACAAAGGTGTTTGGACGAAAAATGTTTCGAATTTTCGAATCGAATTCTGTCAAAACTACCAGTATAACTAATAGCGATCACAATGGCTACAAGAAAATCTGATTTTTTTACTATTGTAACTGTCGCAATTTAACCCATTGACTCGGCTACCGATCTAATCAGATCATACAATACCTACCTTACGTCGGCTCTGGTACGGGTCGAATTAGATCAGGTCGGATCAGAAGTACTGCCTTATGAAAAAACTATTTTTTCCTTTAAAACAAAACCAAAGACAATATGCAATAGATAATAGTATCAAAGACAAAGATATGCTCTTTTATTTTAAACCATAACCTGGCAATGTTTCTTAAAAACCCAATTTCCGATTTTTACTTGACGACACTAATAGAAGCGAATGAAGACGCAACACTACACAATGAATGATACTTTGTTAAATTATATTCTTTATTATAATGATATTATATATTATGATATTATTTATTCGTTTATTTAATAGTAAGCAATTTATAATTAAAATATTTATCACTATAAAAGATATATTTGACGAATCCTTTGCGAAGTGTCTTAGCAATGAGCTTAACTCTCTCGCGGGTTTTATTCCCGCACGAAACAAAAATGTGTATACCTACAAATATTTCTTCCGGGTCTGGATGTTTGTCTTTGTGAAAATTATGTTCCTATGCTAACTGCCACCACCATATACTTAGAAAAATTCTTCGTGTGGAGGTCACTTTATTTAAAAACGGATAAAAAAAGATATGAGCCGTGGTAGATCAAGGGGGAAGTGTTCGCCGTAACGCGAGCGACCCGAGTTCGATCCCCGCCGACACCAACGAAATTGTTACATTGATGAATTATCTTTACATTATGAAACAGTAATATATAATAATAATATCAAACGATATCTATTTAATATAATACATATTTTTTAATTTGTTCGTTTACGTTGACGTTGTGACATTTCTTAGTCTACT